AAAGGGGGGCTGAAGCCCCCCCCCCCCCCACTTCAGCAAAAAACAAAACAAAACTGAAGAATTAGGTGCTTTTTTATCGTTTTCTGTTGTGTTGACAAAAGAAACTCAATTAGCCCACCCCCCTAAACTCAATTAGCCCCCTCACCCCCTAAACTTTCCGCCCTTGCAAATGTATGCAGAATATTTTGAACCCTTGCTATTCAAATGCAAGGAAAAGTGACTAACCATCTATTGTATATATTTCATTGCAGATTGGAGAAGATCACGGTCCATTCAATGAACTTGAGTTGCTGAAAAACAAACCTGGTGTGTACTAAATGAAATGAACCTATCAAAAGCTGTGATATATGTTTGTAAAGTTTCTCCAAGTTCTACAGTTCCTAGACGTCTCTATTTCTTATATATATTCAAATAGCACCTATACCTAAAAAATGACTATATACTTGTATTTTTTGTTTTATTCCAGCACATTTAGCTGTATTCCTTCATTATCTGATATCTAATAGTGATCCAAGCAGTTTGGTATGTTTTAATGTCACACTTTTGCTGTTCCTATTTTTACTTTTTTTTCCTATTCTTATATGCATATTCTTTTTATATATATTTTAATTTCTTTTACGACTATCACTTCCTGTGAGGGGAACTACCGCGAGATTCACTCCACACACACTATCACAACATTCACTATTTAAAACACATGACACTCACCTCACGTTGATTTTCTCATGGCAAGGGAGAGAGCAACACGTCAAACAAACTCAACTCGCATATGTGGTTTAATTAAGAATCAAACCTGCGACCCCAGACATGAACTAGGAGACAGAACCCATGACCCCAGGCAGTGTTGTGAAAATATACCACCAACTATTATTCCTTTTACTATATTCCTGTTCTTGTTGCTTACAGTATGTGATAGTAATATTTATTTTTTGTACAGTTCTTCTGGTTGGTAACAGACTCTCATAGAGAAGGCAATTTCAAAGAAATGAGAAAATGGTCATATGAAATATATTCCACCTTCCTGGCCGACAAAGCAGTGAGTGTTATTGGCTTATTATAATAGACCCTTTTAGGTTGGGCATAATGTTTTCCCATTTCATTCCCTTGAGTAGAATTACTTTATTGAACAGTTCTGCATGATATAAAGCACATGAATATGGATCTAACTCAAATGAAGAATAATAATCTCAAGAAAATTACACATGGTCTGAAATGGGGGAAATACACCCAAGCAAAAAATAAAAACTTTAGTCACATGACAGACTGGCTATTATATGTGAGTAGAGTTGCCTGTTGGTTCTCTCCTGTGCTTTGAGGGTTTTTCTCCATTTTTTTTGGGTTTTGCTCCCTCTGCAAAAATCTTCTTCTAATTTCCAACGTTATCAAGGAATGAGGTCCACAGGTTTATTAGTTACTCGTATTTTTAGTGCTGTCCTCGTAAAAAAAACCAAGGGCCATTCACTTTGCTATTGGTTTAAATTAGACCAACTTGAAAAATAGTTGCTTGAGAATAAACTTGATAGACTTGTTTATATATTTTCTTTAAAGCCTCTAAAAGTAGATGTTGACAAGGGTATTGTACAAGCTATTGGTAAGTTGATATCTATCAAAGATAAACAAAGGGACATGCAGTTCATGGTTTAAATATTCCTGTCATCTGTTAATCATTGCAGAGGCTACATTAGGTAAAGAGTGCAGTGAAGAGTGCCTAAGAAATCTTTTTATACCAGCAAGGTAAACATATTATTCAGTTGATATATGACATATAGTTCATTAGTAACTCATTGTTGATCTGTTATTGGTTAGGTCCGCATGTACCACTGAAATCAATGAACAGCTGGCAGATTTTCGGAGCAAGAGAGCTCTTGGCCTCGGCAGTCTGTTTGGTGATAATCAACTTGAAGGTAGTTATTGCTGATTCACTTAATTTGGCTGTTTAATTCTTTTGTCTGCCTGCCTGCCTGCCTGCCTGCTTAATACTTTGTGTTATTTTACAGATGAGAACATGGACAGAAGTAAAGAAATGAGAGTTGTAGAACAAACATTAATGCATCACTTGGAGAATTCATGGTAGGAATTATTCTTCTAGGTCTCTTTTTTATGTAAAAAATGTATCAATATCATTTCTGGTTTATTCCAATAACTTTGTCTGATCAGCTGGTTACACCTGTTTGAGGTAGTCACTTTCCTCTCATCTCTGGGGTGTAAGGTTCATTTCCTGAACTTGGCATCAAATATGGGTTGGTCTCTTCCTTGATTCAAGGGTTTTTTCTCCAGGTTCTCCAGCTTTCCTCCCTTAGCAGACACAACAGACTAAATTCCAATTCGATCTGTGAGTAAGCTTTATCTTCACTTTGAACTGTCTAGAGTCATTGTGAGGAAAAAGTGATACCAGAGACGCATATGGTGTATAAATTAAAATGCTACACCACTGACCAATGAAATTGCTGCTCATAGCCTTGATATGTTACTTATCATGTTTTATTAGGGTTGAAATGGATTCCACTGATCCAAAAACTGGAGCTGCAGATTATGATAGACAGTGAGTAACCACGGCAACTGTGCCATTTATATATTGGATGAGATATCCAGTACTTTTGCTATCTTAATTTCACTACCAATCATGGGATTTTTGCTACCATGTAAAAGTCATAAGAGAGAGTCAATCTTAGTTTGATTGGTCGTATTGTGTCATGGTTGTCAAAAAATTATTCTACACTCTTTACAAATGGTTTTATGAAGCTTTCATGCAGTGTAATAATTTTTCTTGTGTTATTGTTTGCAATTCCTTTTGGTAGTGAACAAACGTTGACATTGTAGCAAAAATACTGTGATTCTTGGATGACTTATTGAACATCAATTTGCTTATCAATACAATGACTGCATTTGTTCTTTAGTTCTGCCATGGCTTCTGCTTTGACCACATTCATGAAGCAAGTAGGAGTGACCGTCAAGGTAAATCATTCAGCAAAGGATAACAAAGGACATTAAATGATATAAAGACCTAATTGTTAGACTGTTATGACATTGTAAAGGTGTTTGTAGGTTGGAATGGCTACTGACTAGCATGTTTAATGTTCTACTTACAAATTAGGTTTACGGTCATGACGCCCCCTTGCCATGACGCCCCCAGCCATGACGCCCCCACGTATACCATGACGCCCCCAGTCTGTAGTACCATGACGCCCCCAGCGTAAACCATGACGCCCCCAGCGTAAACCATGACGCCCCTAGTCTCTATTAACACTTATTTAATAAGAAGTTGAACGATAATAATATGGCGCTACGAATCCATGTAAATCGAACACTATTGGAGTTGTTTCACGATCATTACGGTTTTAAAAAACTCGTTTCTATGCTTCGCGGATCCACGAGTTAAAAACGATACCTACAAGCTGGCAAACACTAAATGTACTTTTTGAATTTTGTCATTAATAATTAGTTCCAGAACATGATATAGCTGAATTAGGAGTTAAAGAACATCATTCAGATGCATTAGGAATCCAACCATAATTCTAAGACATGTTCATCGATCAAAACTTTTATTTCGTGCGATCAAGTCACGCTGTTGTTACGAAGCATTCTCAACACGGCCCGTGATCAACATTTCGGAATGCCTTTATCGGCACGAGAAACCTATAAAAAATTCTTCATATTTAAAGAACATCATTTCGGTGCATTTGGAGTTCTTGAACATCATTTCACAAAGAACATTAAAACTTTTTTGTAAGGATTGTTTTTGAGACACGCCGGCCTTTGCGTTTAAAACTCTTTGGTTATCTACCCCGGGTTATTTACACAAATGGATAAATATCTCTATTTCGATAGCTTTTTCAAGTGATTTCAGCAATCGCCGGGAAAGACAAAATATTTCTTCAAGGCATCTGTTTACAGAATAGGTTTTGAAATTACGAACGGAAAGTTGAATAAACTCAACCTCGGAAGTAAATTAGACAGTGAGTCGAGGAATCGAAAGTGACACCTCGCTGTATTCCCGGGTGTATTACAAACGCGATGCGTCACGTCAACGTTTGCATTTAGATTACAGTAATATAATAGTTAACTATGATAATACGGTATGCTGATTTGTTTTCCATCTTGAATCTCATTTTAATATGAACTCTGAAATTCATCTGTGATGATTGTTTTTGAGACGCGGTTTGTGCTTCGCGTCACCAAGCGAAGACTCCAAACGCGGAGGAGTTGTGTGACAACAAAAGTGTAACGACTTGAATATGGCAAACTACCGATTTATGTGAGCAATCTTTGCTTGCTTTCCGAAATATTTATTAAAACCACACATGTTTCTTCTCCAAGAAAGTTTATATGAATAAGGAGGCTATTAAAGTAGAAGAAACGTCACGAATGAGTCAAAAACTTTAGACACGAACGAGTTGCTGTGACGACATACCCGAGCAGCGAAAAGACTCGTAAAGTGAAAACGGCAAACTACCCAATTTTTGTAAAAGAAATCTTTACTGATTTACCACAATATTTAGCAAAAACACACATGTTTCAAAATTACGAATAAGTCAAAAACTTCCTACACCAAAGAACTATTAGGTTACAAGTCTGCGAACTACGACGTACTGCTAAAAACAACTCGTTCGTTCGAAAACAACTCGTTCCTCCGTGCTTTCATAGTTAATGGTCGTGTCAAAGGTTTTGATTCTTTCGCAATGTTTTTCTAACTTTATTCACCAGCACTCTCTTTTTTTTGTGGTATATTTTCAGAGTCAAACTTTTTGGAGAAAGGTTTCAGAACTTATGCTTATATGCGAAACAATAATAGGAAAGATCACTAGAATTCTTACGGCAACTATGGCGTACTAACTTGAACTACGAATACAGTTGATAGATAGATAATTYGTAACACCGTATGGTATGTAAAAATGAAACTGACGTTTCGGACGTTAGTCCTTCATCGGAGTAAACTCCGTAAACTTCGTTTACTCCGATGAAGGACTAACGTCCGAAACGTCAGTTTCATTTTTACATACCATACGGTGTTACRAATTATCTATCTATCAACTGTTTTACTGAAAACACCGACGCAGTTTACACTAGTTTTAACTAGTTTTCCACCTTATGAACTACGAATAATTTATCGGACTCACGAAATTTTGTTGTCAACTATTTTCCTTTTCGTTATTTTTTTTGTCGTTCATGGATTTATACTGTGAAATATTGTTAAACTTCTTATTAAATAAGTGTTAATAGAGACTAGGGGCGTCATGGTTTACGCTGGGGGCGTCATGGTAGTACAGACTGGGGGCGTCATGGTATACGTGGGGGCGTCATGACAAGGGGGCGTCATGACCGGTTACCACAAATTATCTAATAATGGCACACCTCAATGATGGCATAGCAATAACCTTAGACTATTAGTTTGGGATATTAAGGTGTTAATCTGTAATATGACACTGATATCATTGAAATACTTACTGGAACTCCAAAGTCTTGCTTGCTTTACTGCGCTTCTGAATCACACACTTGAAATCATGAATCATGAATAGTTGAACAAAACATTCTATTGCCCATGAAGTTTGAAAATTCTTAGAAATAATCAATTAGAAATCATCGCTACAGTATCTTTTCAACTTGAAACCCTTGTGTACAACTACAGTGAATGTATATTTCTAGTTTGGCTGTGTTGAATCACAGCAGTCAATGAAATAGAGCATGCGTAGACATAAACTTCTTTCAAGTGATCCGCTAGCTCTTCCTTCTCACTTGGCAACATGGGGATATTGATTGACAGCTGGTACATGCTATTTGTTTGGATCGTAGACTGGAACCCTATAGCAGAAGCTTGCAAAGGTCTCTTGGGTAAGGTCCTGAAGACTCCTGGGTATTATTGCACAACATGTCCATTTTGTCGGAGAGGGACCAGAAATTTTTTTTGTATGCCTGGTTTTCCACAGGTAACCCGGTAATTAAGGCCCTATAATTATAATTATGACAGAAATACTCATAAAATGATGACATAATAGTCTGAGCACTGCTGTACAATATCACAATTTTAATTATTCTTTCTTTCCAACAGACTGGGTCAGTCTATGGGAATATCCTAGAAAAATGCTCAAGTTTTACTCAGAAGGAAGGAAAATCATTATTTAAAATCAAGCAAAGTAAACGGGTAAGAGAAATAGTTTGAAAATCTATATCATAATACGTAAACCAGTCCCCATCGGTATGGAAAAATAGGGATACAGGCAAGGGCACAGTCATTAGCATATGGCATAGAAAAACCTTCATAACTTCAAGAAGCCACACTCAAACTATGAAACAGTAGTCCAGTCAATCTATGACTTTTCAGGGTTCCAGTTCAAACTAATTGCAATAACTTCTTACTGCTATTATGTCAGGAGAGGTGTCCTAAATAACATACTAAAAATCCCAAAAAATCCCTTCGGTGGAAAATCCTGAAAAATTGAATTAAAGATTTTGATGTCTCACCACAGGGCTCCCACATCATTAAGAACAACAGCCAAGCTGTTTGCTGTCAATGCAGTGGCAAACCTAATTAATTTTACACCTATACTGAACTCCTGAATATGGGACTAAGATCCAAAACCTTGAAAACAAATAATATTAAATGTAAAAGAAACAACAGTAGAGTGAAGTCACTAAACCCGTGCAATAGATATTAGACTAATACACATTAGTAGACCCTAATTCCATTGTTTTCTTTTGTGTCTATTTGACTATTATATGTTGACTAATAATTTTTATTTCACGGGTTAAAATCGTTCTCTCTATTATGAAATGATGATACGTACATACAAAGAAATCATAAGTTAACTTATATGTCCATTTGTTTGTCAGGCCAAGAACCATCATCTGGTTAGTACACACTATACTAATGTGACATATTGTAACAAGTGTTTTGGATTACTGTGGGGAATTGGTGATCAAGGCTACCAGTGTACAGGTAAACACTAACACACTGTTGATCTAAGTCTTGTTGTTGTTCATAGTTCTAGGGGGTTGGTATCATTTAGACTATTACACCATATTCTTTGTATATGTCAATGTATCGAACCATTGGAACAAAATAATTAAGGAATAAGGTAATCATATTCTTTTATGTGTTATTTATGTGTACTGTTGTGATTGCATGTGATGATGGCAGTATGTGAATACAATGTACACAAGGCTTGTTATGAAGCAATAGAAGAAACCTGCCCAGGACCAAAGAAGAGAAAGGTAAACCACACATTTTTCCATATTAATACACATTTTCTTTTTTCTTTTTTTTTTTTTTTTTTNTTTTTTTTTTTTTCTTTTCTTTCTTTTTTCTTTCTTCTTTTTTCTTTTTTCTTTTCTTTTCTTTTCTTTAACGTAATATTTGAAAAGTGGCGGATTAAACAACACAGTTTTAAATCTGTAATGACATATTTTGAGAAAACCATTTTGAAATAGTAAACAGGGTGCATTCTGGTCTAGCTTGGGTACAGCAACACTATATTTTATGAGGAATGATAAACAAAAGATGCACTTTGTTTGTCATACTCTAAAGAGGCCTTTGCTCCAGTGAAAATAGACAGTTAACAGGCACAAACTACAAGAGAAAATCTCATTCAGTTATTTGCTTTGCTTACTTGCCTTACAGAGAGGTTTGTTGTTGTTGTGGGAAAAAACAGTAGAAATCATTTTCTTTTGGAAACAAAATTTCTTGTCATTCAAAACTATTACATTGTTCAAGGGCTTCCCTGAATCCCCTTTATTACCATCATTTTTATTATCCCCACCAATGTTACTATAACAATTTGTCTTTTTTTTATTATCAGAAGGCAAATGGTGGAACATCAATGAAAAGAACTGTTATTGCAAAAAGACAACCCACCAATGCTGAAGGTACTCACAACGCTTTTTGGGACTACAATAAAAAACAATGCAAAGAACTATTTGTGTATAGACTTATTAATAATAAAAATGATAATAATTATGATATAGTAGTAATAAATTATGCGTTCGGTGTGCATATAATGAAGTAGAGAGAATAAGAGAAAAATATCAAATGCCCTTGGCAGGATTCGAACCCACGTCTTCGGTATTCTAGTCCGATGTGTTAACCACTACACTACAAGGACCAACTACGCTGGTAACGCAGCCAGAATATGAAATGTAGGGCATTTGATATTTTTCTCTTATTCTCTCTACTTCATAATAATTATAGCTTGTGGCTAAGGCAAGACAAAACCCTCAAGCCAACAAGCACCATTGACAGCAGTGAGAGGCAGGGTTTCGGTTGACTCACCTATGGACTGACTTGCCTACCCAAGTCAGTCCAGATACCAGTGGCAGTGTCTTAGCAGTACAGCATGGCACCTATGGTTAACAATTATTAGTACTAATTACTAATTATTATCCCTGTTTTACTCACCAATAGAATTTGCTACCAATCGACATGTCACCAACGTACACTTGGTACCCAGCTATAACCAACCATCTGGTAAAGGCAAAGATTTTGACTCTGATTTGCAAGGTCAGTTACAGTTATTTATAATTATTAATTAATACAAATGTATAAGTGATCCCTAATTTGGTTATTTATTTCCCTCCTGTTTTTTGTTGTGTCCCTACAGAGAGTGGTATGATAGATAGTTCAGCAGATGAGAGCTCAGTAAGTACCATAACTTCGATACATTTAGTACAGCTGTATTTAATGTATCTAAATTTTTTGTTGTTGTTGCCTCTTAGGTCGCAAGAAAAGGAGACAGGTTAGAATTAACTAGCCTTTTTAAAGAGCATCTGACTGAGTGTGAGGGTGGCATTCTGCTCTATTGCCCTAAAATACATCACTAAATTTATTAAAATTTATATATAAGATTGGAAATATAGCAGATAAGTATGTCTAAAAGTGGTAGTCGGGGGGGGGGGGGGGGGGGGGGGGGATAGGGGGAGCTTAAGAGAGACAAGTGGGTGCATAGTGTAGTGAATGTTAGCTCTCCATAGCCCATGTGATGGAACATGGTAGTATTGCAGATGCTTTGGGTGATATACTGGGGTATCTATCATCAGGTTGTATCCAACAAGACCAGAAGAAGGAGGAGAGTCATTTTCTGAAGGAGAGGACAGGTATATTTGTTTACTACTCACATTAATAAACAGAAACATTTCCATTAGCACTTTAAAGAAACTGAATGTTGTTTTTATTTTAAGCAACTATTAATTTTTTCAATCTTAATTTTTTCCAGGTCAGTGTCTTCCCCTGAGGTAAGTTTTGCCATTCTCTGTTTTTGTCTTTTATTTTATTTTAAGTTATCATTGTTTGATCAATGGTTCTGTTTAAATGTTATGTGCAGGAATCATTACCTACTGTTCCTGTTTCTACTGTAAAGAAAAGGTAAGTGGTAAATGGGAGTTAAGATAAGTCAAATGATCATGCCTGGGAAGATGGTCATGGTGCTGGGCAATGAAGGGTGGTATAGCCTCTCACCTCTAGGGTCTTGGGTTCAATTTAGTAGAGTTTGTTAGGGGTCTCCCTTGATTCGAGGGTTATTCCATATTCCCTAGTTTTAGTCCCTGATTTTTTAGTTATCTTCTACTTAAAGTCTGTCAAAACGTAAACATTGTGACCCCAGGAATAAATATTTTGATATACTTGAAAAAAAATTGAAGTTTAAATGATCATTGGTATCAATTAATATTAATCCTCATGAATAATTCATTTGCTAGACGTCCTAATGGCAATGATCTAATCATATCTTCTACTTGAAAGTATTAGTTATGCATACTTATGCCATCATTACTCACATGGTCACATACGTTCTTCCTCCCTTTCTCTCTATGTAGTAACAATGAACTATTTTCTTCAAGGAAATTTGTCATGAGATCTGAGAGTGTCAAAACACCAGTAAGTAGACTATGACTGTTATGACTGTTACTCTGCTCGGTAACTAATGTGCATTATATTATTGGGTAGTTCAAAAATTATCCATTACCCCATCTATTATCCCCCTTGACTTCGGAAATTCTGAAATCTTTTCATGCCCCTGGCCCAAGAAATTCCATGCTTGTTGCTCCCCTCCCTGCCCCGAATTCCATATCATTACATATTATCTTAATTGCTTTATCGACAAAGAAGTAACCGCTGTTTTCATGGCAGAAGAACTTAAAAATTGAAGTCAAGAAGCATATTACTGGGTGGAAATTATTACCTAAACTTTGCTTAAGGTCTTAAACTTGGAAAATATTTTGGGAAAATTTTTCTTATAACTTATCTTTGGTTTTCAGTGTTTTTTCTCACTTCTATTGACAAACAATGCAGAAAAGAATGAAACAGAACTTTTAATGTGCATATTAGGGTTTGCTGTTTTTTATTGTATACGGAAGTTCTAACCCTTAAAATCATATGATCAACAAAAATTATTCCATTGTGTTGCATTTCTTTTTTCTTGCTATCAAACTTTTGGAAGAGGAATGAAATTCTGAGTACTGTGGAAGCCTTGGACTAGTTTTTAAGTAACTTTGTTCCCAGGACTCTAGTGCGAAAACGTCAGAGATATTCATGTTTCAGCAACCATATCAACTTATATGTTTTCATATCATACACCAGATCAAAATATGGAGACCAATAAATTTGAATAACTATTCTGCACTGACCAGTGACTGATTAGCCTTTTGTTTGTGTGGAAACACAAAAGCGGTTAGTCACTTGCTAGTCAGTGCAGAACAGTAGTTAATTCAAAGTAGTCGCCATATTCAAATGTGGTGTATGCAAACGACTGTAACAAACTAAACAGTTGGTATTGATATTGGTTACTTGACTGTTTACTACAGAAGGAGATAGCCAGTAAGAAGACTCTGGGATCCGTACCAAGGTCAGGAAGAAAATCAGTTGCGATTGGAGACTTGTGAGTCATGATCATACTATACTACCAGATGTCTCCTAACATTCCCAGGTGCCTTTGTATGCTCCCCTGTCTTTTCATTCATTCATTCCCCCAAATAATTCCATGTCTTCTTTGCACCATCTGGTACTATCAGTACCCCATGTTTACTAGTCTGATCGTCCTCTCCACCATCCAACAGGGTTCTTATTGTGATCAGTATTGGTTTTATCTATTATGCCTGATACGTTTCTCTTTTTTAAATTTAAGTCGAGGCAATGACATACAAGAGTCTGGTGTTCTTAACTATGGAAGGTAAGGGAAAAAATTGTAGTAAAGAAAACTACTACTCTATAATCCCTAAAATGTTGTGTTGACAGGAGGGGAGAAATGTGACTAGCTTGCTGCCCCTCACATCTGCAGGCTGTATGTTTTGTATTCCATCTTTCCTTTCTAAAGACAGAAAAGGACAATGAATGCTGAGATGTTGCTACACAAAACAGTTATATATAAATTGATTAACATTATCCCTTGGATTGCAGAGGCAATGATTCACCTACACTAGCTCTAGATGCCGTGTCAGAAGATGGTAAGCCTTTTTGTCTATTCCAGCTGTTAGATATCTTACTTCAAAAACTTACATAGCTTTTGACATTTCATTTCATATTTTACCAGTATTTTATCCTTTTTGCTTATTTGACATAATGTTGCATTATTCAGCACTTTTTCATAACTATGGTACATTTAAAGATTACTTGCCGAAGGCAAAGTGAATATACTGGTGAATATTTACTAAATATTATTTTAAATGTTATTAAATATTCACCATAATCACTGAGCCCTAAGTGACTGTTTTTTTCATTTAGTTAATTTTAGACTTGAATGTCAGAGAAAAGAAAAAATTCAAGATAAAAAAACTTTTTTTTGGCAAACATTGGGAAACCTCATAATTATTACTGCTTGAGCAGTGATTTTATCTCATAATCACTGGTCGCTCAAACAATCACAGTGTGCAAAGTTGATATTCAAGTCTGAATTTATACTAAATATCTATAACCAAAAAACTGCATGCATTTGCAAGAAGGACACACTGCTTCTAGCATGATCACAATCAATACTAATCTTGATAAATTCATTCTAACGTCTTCACTACTTGGCTCTAATTGCATAGTGTATGATAACATACTGTAACACAGCACCAGCCATTTTTCATTGATTTATATTTTGTCATTTAAGAGCTGTTGTTCTTGCATTCCACTTTTTCCACTATCTGTTACCTGTAGCAATTAACCTAACATCTAATCAATTAAGTAAGTTAAGTAACCAAACATACAGCAGGTTATCTCCTGGTCTGCAGAAGGGAAAATCTACAGAATCTTACGAGTTAAGTGTAAAGAAAAGTGTTAAAGTTTAAAAAGTTTAAAAGTTAAGGCACAAGCGCCTTATAAATATAGGGTATCTTTTCACATTGGTGCTTTTCACATTATCCTTTGTAAACGTAATCTTTGATCAAAGTCATAAGCTTGAAAAAGTCATAGAAGCATCAGTAGTACTTTTGCATGTTCTTTGGATTTCTTTTTTGTGGTCTTTTTTCCAATGAATTCTGCATGTCCGGAATTATTGCATCTATGTTCACCACAAAAAATGTAATTCATATGATCATCCTCCTCAACTCTAGAATGAATTTGATTTTATCTAGAATTTAAGATATTTTACTAGTCAGCCAAATAATTATCATTTTTAATTATGAACAAAATACTGTCCTTCTGTGAGCAGAAATGTTCTCTATCCCTCCAGCTGCCTTGTCATTAGAAGGAATTAAGGAAACCCCTCTCATCATTATACTATTGACAGTACTAACAGTTCTGTTTTTTATTAGCTAAACGTGTACGCTCACGTTCTGCTACTTTTCCTTACACAGAAGAGGAAGTGGTGAGTACATTCCTGGCATAGCTTAGATAGTATTCAGCATTGATACTAACAGGGGGGAGCGGGGCTGAATTCAAAACCCGGGACAGGTTTTCCATCAAACTTCAAACCCTCCATCAAACATTAACAATAGGGCTTGGTTGTTTTTTTACAACGCACGTGCTCGGGTTTGCATTGAAACTCACCCTAGCGTTTTAACCTTTATATGAAGTACACATTTACTAACCATTTAGTAATACTTGCTGATGTGTTAATTCAATAACTCCGTAATTATATCCATGTTACATCGTACAAGATGATGATTATTGACTCAGATGTGTTTGTATGCCAACAGACTTCTTTACTAACACCATTAATTTGTTTTCAATTGTTGCAGACCTAATTCATCGTACACATGTTCCTTGTCTTGTATTTTTTCATATTAACCCTTTGACTCCTGGTTTTTAATTTGGGAATACGGTATGCGCAGAAACGAGCGTTGAGTCTCAATATGCAAATGTTTAAGTCAATCAGTCAGCAACTCACTCGCTAAGATGTTAGCAGGTTTCCTTGGGACATGTTTCATTGGATTTTGAAAATGTTTTGAACATTTTAGACCAGTATTCAAGCCAACCTGCTCAAACTTTTTAAAGGTGAAATGTTTTAAATGCGGTGCATTTTTTAAATGGGGTTTCAGATGTCCTAGGAGTCAAAGGGTTAACACGGCAGATATTGTTAGTAACATCAGTAACCCAGTAACATAAATAGTGAACAGGGGTTCCATTGTTGATATGTTCATATCATTTATCTGTATCTTTCTTACATTACATTGCAGGATTCCGACTTTGAAGCAGATACCCAACCTCCGTGGCAACAGACTGTAGATAAAAAGGTATAACTATGTTCCTAGAAAACACAGCAACATATGGTGACATTCCCTAGCAGTACATGGTAATAATACATGTTTAGCTAGGGTATGGTGGCTCCTAATGATACCTAAAACCTTGTCCTTGGCAACAACTGGTAACATGCCCCTAGCTAGAACACCTTATAAAATGTCCCTAGCAACACCTAAATCAATCAATCAATCAATCAACTTTGTTTATAGAGGATGATACTTGACAATAATTAAACTGATAAACATTTGGTCCTCTTTTAACGTCTCTAGTTGGTTGGTTGGGAGGTGGGGGGACCGCCATTAACATGGTCATCTGAGCCACCCAAATATCTACCATTTGCATATGTTATTACATATGTTAAGGCAGCACCCAGTAACCAGTCATAATGCCCCCAGCCATGACGCCCCCATGTATACCATGACGCCCCCAGTCGTACTACCATGACACCCCCAGCGTAAACCATGACGCCCCTAGTCTCTATTAACACTTATTTAATGAGAAGTTTAACGATAATAATATGGCGCTACCACTATTGGAGTTGTTTCAAGACCCTGAGTGTTAGTTCGGCCAGGACTGGAACCATGACCTCTCACACAACCAACAGAGGCTCTTACCAACTGTGCTTACCGGGTGACCTCATTACATGCGCCTAGCAACGCCTTATAACCTGAGCCAAGCAACCCATGGTAATGTTCCCCTACCAACACCTCTTAACATTCCCCAAGGAAGACAGGGTAACATGCCCATAGCAACACCTTATAACGTACCCCTAGTAACACCTGTTAACATTCCCCAAGCAACATCTAGTAACATGCCCCTAACCATAATTCAGGACATGATTTTAGCAACAGCTGGTAACGCTTCTAGCAACACCTGGTAACATTCCCTAGCAGCACCTCATAACATGTCCCTAGTAACATCTGTTAATGCTTCTAGCAACACCTGCAAACATTCCCTAGCAGAACCTCATAACATGCCCCTAGCAACAAATTCTACTATTGTGTTAAAAGAGAAAAGAGTCATGATTGTCATTGTAATTGATTTTCTTTCTTTCTTTATGAACAGATTTTAAAGAAACTTAAGCAAAAAGAAATAAAACGCCAAGAGGTCATTCATGGTAAGAAAACTTATTGACAATGATGGACAGGTGGACTTGTAGTGTTAATCATTCTGACAACTGTCGTATTTGTGTTAACAGAACTCATTCATACAGAAAAAACCCATGTTAGAAACCTTAAAGTACTGGATAAAGTAAGTATTCTGTATTATTATCCAATTATTCGAGTTAGAGTACAAATAACGCAGGAGAAAGCCTAGATTATTTTGTACCAGTAAAAACTGGTTTTGAAAACTAGTTTTTTAAAGAATATTCATTTTCAAGTCTTCTTTTGGGAAAAATGTAAGCTCAGTTGAATAATAAATAACTTATTAGACATTTTAAGGTGGAATACGAGTGGACATTTTTTTCTTGTCTTTGTATTTTGTCTCGCCCTATCAGAAAAAAATATTCACCCATACTCCACTCTAAAATGTCTAATAAGATCTGCTTATTCCATCACATGTTCATGTGTCACATGTTAACTTCATGTGTTGTTATTTATATTATTATTATTATTTTATTCATATAGTCTAAGAGTGGTTTTCATAAACCCGTGAAATACACACTAGCCTAATACAAATTAGTAGACCCTTATTCCATTGTGTTCTTTTGTTGTCATTTCACTATTACACACTAACTATTGATAATTGTTTCACAAGTTTATGAAAATCACTTTATATTTAGATTTAATTTTGAATTTTTTAAATATTACCTCAATTATATTCATTCACTCCAGTGCTTATGTAGAAAGATTGAACTGAGACCTATAGACCTATATCCTTTTCTTATTTATTTTCTATTCACATTTATACATACCAGTAGATATATTTTTTGTCTTAACATTTTAATAGTATAGTGAAGGCCAGGATAATTGAAAATTATCATTCTGGTAACAGTGTACCTCTAATAAAGTTTAGAAGAAACCTTTTGAACTTTTGATCTTTCGTTAAGTTGAGCAGAAACTTTTTAACGACTTTGGCATAACAGATACATATAAACGAGATGCCAGATAACAGAGTCAAATGTAGAATTTAATCAGACCTTTGGAAAGAGATCACTCTTCCTTCATTCAGTGGCAATATATTAACAGTGACGAAGAAAGTCAAGTATTAACAGTCAGTGCCTTGTGGTATTTCAATGCATTCCTCTTGTTTATTTAGGCTTAATTCCTCTTATTTCTACAGCTTCTCTGATCTAGTATATAATAGTATATAACCATAGAATCTCATAACCTTAGCTGTACAAAATGTATTACCACCTGAAATCTATAAATGATAATAACAGTAATCATTCATTCACTCGTTTTCCCAGGTATTCTACAGACCAATGAAAAAGAAGAACATATGGCAATATGACATGATAAGACTACTTTTTCCTAACTTAGGTGATCTTATTCAAGTACATGGTAATTTTTCTCTATTTTTACACCATGCATAGTCTCATTCTATTGAACTTTGGGAATGATGAAATTTTGATTGTGCAGTCAAACTTTGGGATTTCAAGCAATATTATATTACAGCAACGATGTTGGATGGTAGGAACAATACGATCACTTTACGTGAGAAAGAATTCAATTCTCCAGGGAAAAGGGATTCTATTCTGCTATCTAAAATCACTGCAAAACCTTTATCAAACATCCAACTTTAGGCAGTTTTTAAGTTCTCTGCTAGATAGAGACTTGATGCCCAATGGAGTTGCAAATATCCTTTTTGGGAATGCTAAATAGAGGATGGCCATTAATTAAAGGTTCTGCTGTTGTTTGCTAGAGTGCATTTTCTATTATTTTTTCACAGTTTTACTTCTCCAAGCTATGAAGAAGAGAGAGCTAGAGAATGAAGTAATTTCTAACATTGGAGATATCATGTTAGATAGGGTGAGTATTCATCATCAGCTGTCAATAACATGATTACCATTCTCAATGACTTTCTGAACATCTTCATATATCTATGGCATGACAGCGGAGCTCCCCAGCGGCGCGAGTAGACCATCATACTTAATAAAAATTGTTAACCCATGGAGTTGATTTTTGATGGCTTGACTACTACATCACTGCCGTCCCTCCATTTGCACATACTGACGTCCGTGTACACAATGCAGGGATCCCAATTGATGCAAAGCAAAACTACTCACAAACCCGGCTCTCAAATGCTCAGGAAAACATTGCTGTGGGACAATTTTAAGCCCAACAACAGCAAAAAAAATTATGTAGTGAAAGATGAAATTTATGAGCATTCTTCAAGTATTTAGGTATGGTTTCTTTTAGCAAACAATATATATGTAATGGGGTTCTTGTATAACGCATTTCACATTGTCTGAGTGATTTGTTAGTAATGATGAAAAGGTACATTATACACCGTGAAAAGATGAAAAATCTTACTGACGTTTCGGACGCTAGTCCTTCGTCGGAGTAAAAGAGAAAGAAGTGGTAGAAAGGAGTGTGTATATATGATAGAATAAGACAAAAGAAACCAATGAGAGCAAGGTAGGCCATTCGTAAAGTTTCTACTATTGATCGTACCACCGCTCTCACTCCTCACACTCGTCCCTCTAATGATCGCATTCCTTTCACTCTTACGTATCATCCTATTAACATTTCCATTAAACCCATTGTTAACCACAACTTTTCTCTGCTTGACTCTGATACTCGCAATTCTGCTATTTTCAACAACCGCCCTCTYTTTTCCTATRAACGTGATCGTAATCTYCGTTCTTTCTTGGTCAAGGGAGTTCTTCCCTCTAACAAAGAACCTGGTACTTTTTGCTGTTCTCATAAACGTTGTTATACTTGTCCTCACATAGTCTCTCACACTTCTGTTGTCGGTCCTAAATCAACTGTTAAAATCACTGACCATTTTGTTTGTACCACTTCTAATGTTGTATATTGTATTAAATGTACCCGCTGTAATCTTTTGTATGTGGGCAAGACTGGCCGCCGTCTTGGTGATCGCATTTGCAATCATCTTTATGATATTC